TAATGTCCCTACTAAAAGTAAGTTCAAGGATTAAAAATATAGCTTTAAAATCACCAAATTAACATCATAATTAGGTGCAGTTTCTATTCTCCAGGAACAACGCTACATACCATGCAAACAAAATAATTAAATATCAAAGCTTAGTAATTTAAAACAATAATTGAAAGGAAATTAAACTGGGTCGTAGACATCTTATAGACTAGGAATTTAGGTAATTACAAAGTGTAATGTAGTTTGAAGGAAAACAAAGAAGAGAGAACCAGGTAGTGCTGCTGCCTTGGAAATCCGCCAAATTCCACCGTCCAATCACTGCCTGAGCTGGAACTCGCCGTACTTGCGAGCGCCGACCGGAGTACCTCCGGTTAACTCACAGAACAGAGCTTGGCGTAGAGATTGATGATCCTGTTAAATGTTGCAACACCAAGTGTGAGTGTGTCCTACTGGTTCAGACATCATGGGGAGTGGAAATAGGATCATGGGATCATGGGATCATGGAGTAGTTTATTATTTTGTGGTTGTTATTATTTTTAATCATGTTGTGTAGTTAGGATTTCTATTGGGTTGTAGCCTATATAAAGGCAGTATTTCTTTGTTAATGCAGTACATCAGAAAGCAGTAATATAGAAACATTTCCTTCCCTAATTTTCCTTCTTGTTTGAGAGCCATATTTCAATTGTGTGTTCATTTGTTTAGCTCTGTCTTTCAACAATTTGGTATCAGAGCCCATAACCCATAGGTCCCAGGTTCGCGAGAGTTCCACATATTGTAAGTTTGTGAGTAGTTCTGTTGTTAACATAATGACTGAACTACATGTTGTCAATGGTATGAAAAAACTCACTAACAATAATTATAGTACGTGGTCAACTTGCATGGCATCCTACATGCAAGGGCAAGACTTGTGGGAAGTAGTCAATGGTGCTGAAGTGGTTCAGCCAGATGCAGAGGATGCAAATGGTTCCTTACGGAAGTGGAAAATCAAAGCAGGCAAAGCCATGTTTGCCCTTAAGACAACAATTGAAGAAAAGCTCTTAGAACACATTCAAGATGCTAAAACCCCGAAGGAAGCTTGGGATACACTTACCAAGCTATTCTCGAAGGAAAATGAGTCGAAGCTTCAACTTCTAGAAAGTGAGCTACTCTCTATAGCACAACGCGACATGACGGTTGCACAATATTTTCACAAGGTGAAGACGTTATGCCGAGAGATTTCATCGTTAGATCCAGAAGCTCCAATAAAGGAAACTAGGGTGAAACGAATTATCATCCATGGTTTGTGACCTGAATTTAGAAATTTTGTTTGCTGCGGTACAAGGGTGGAAGGATCAACCATCACTTGTTGAATTTGAGAATTTGCTAGCTAATCAAGAGGAATTAGTTAAGCAAATGGGAGGAGTCTCATTGAAGAAAGAAGAAGAGGCACTCTACGTCAACAAAGGTAGACGAAATTCAAAACAACATAATACTGGTGGATCTAACAAGAATGATGATGAAGCAAGAGAGCATCGGAATGAGAGGAACACTCGTGGAGGGGGAGTTCCAAAGAATCAAAGTCGTGGCAAGAGATTTGAAGGGAAGTGTTTTAACTGCAATAAAAAGGGGCATATGGCAAAAGACTGTTGGTCGAAGAAGAAAAATGTGGAAAGTAATGCTGCCACGTCCAAAGTTGAAGAGGAATGGGACGCCGAGGCGTTATTCGCTGCAGATGGGGAAGAACTAGCCTTAACTATGACGACTGTTAAGCATATTGATTATGGAAATGACTGGATTGTTGATTCAGGCTGTTCTAACCACATGACTGGTGACATGAAAATGTTGCAAAATTTAGCAGAGTACAAAGGGAGCCGTGTGGTAGTAACAGCGGACAATTCTAAATTGCCGATAACCCATGTCGGCAATGTAGTAGTTTCTCCTCATTGTGGTGAAGTGGATGTACCATTGCAGGATGTCTATCATGTTCCAGGTATGAAGAAAAATCTTCTCTCAGTATCACAATTAACATCTTCTGGTCACTTTGTCCTATTTGGTCCACAAGATGTGAAAGTGTATCGGGGCCTTGAGATTAGTGGAGCCTATATTGACAGGGAAAAGACTAGAGTCAATCTATATGATGTCTGCAGAAACTGCATTTGTAGACAAGACGAGGAGCAATGAGACTGTTGACTTATGGCATATGAGGCTTAGTCACGTTAGCTATTATAAGCTAGACATGATTATGCGAAAGTCAATGCTGAAAGGTTTACCCCAACTTGAAGTGCGGTCTAACGTTGTTTGCGCAGGATGTCAATACGGAAAGGCACACCAGCTTCCCTTTGAAGAGTCCAAATACAGAGCAAAGAAATCATTAGAGTTGATACACTCTGATGTGTTTGGGCCGGTCAAGCAATCATCTTTTGGCGGGTTGAAGTATATGGTCACCTTCATTGATGATTTTTCAAGGTATGTGTGGGTATATTTTATGAAGGAAAAATCTGAAGTTTTGTCAAAATTCAAAATATTTAAGAGTGATGCAGAAACAGAGGTTGGCAGTAATGTTTGTTGCCTACGAACTGATAATGGGGGAGAATATACCTCATATGAGTTCTCAGATTTTCTTCATAGTTGCAGAATAAGTCATCAATTCACGTGTTCAAGCACGCCACAACAAAATGGCGTTGCAGAGAGGAAGAATAGGCACTTAGCAGAAGCTTGTCGTAGCATGCTTCATGCTAAGAATGTTCCTGGTTGCTTTTGGGCAGAGGCGATGAAAACTACTGCTTTTGTGATCAACAGACTTCCTCAACAAAGGTTAAACTTTCTTTCACCTTTTGAAAAATTAAAGAATGTGAAACCTACTGTTGGCTATTTTCGAGTATTTGGATGTGTTTGCTATGTTTTTGTTCCTGACCATCTACGGAGCAAGATGGAGAAGAAGGCTGTTAGGTGCATTTTTGTAGGATATGACAGTCAAAGGAAGGGGTGGCGATGCTGTGATCCAACAACACATAAGTGTTACACATTAAGGAATGTAGTGTTTGATGAAGCCTCTTCGTGGTGGTCATCTAGAAAGGAAGTGTTACCAGACTCAAATGTTTTGAAAGAGGGGTCGCGTCCTTCTACAGTCCAGTTAACTATAGAAAACGATGAGATTGCTGCAGATAGTGAAGGTGTTGGAACTATCTCTGTTCAAAATCCATGGCAAACTGGTGTATATCAACATCAGGAAGAAGAAGGTGGTTCCAATGATGTGAACACGTCGCCACTGGTACGGAGGTCGACAAGAGTCAGGAAGCCAAATCCTAAGTATGCTAATGCTGCAATAGTAGAAGAGGAAAAAGAACCTGAAACCTTTGATGAGGCATCTCAAAAGTTAGAGTGGATCAATGCAATGGAAGAAGAGATTGTTGCACTAGAGCAAAACCAAACTTGGGAGCTTGTGGCGAAGCCAACTGATGTTAAGCCTATTTCATGCAAATGGGTTTATAAGATAAAACGCCGTGCCGATGGTTCAATCGAGAGGTACAAAGCTCGTTTAGTAGCTCGTGGATTTTCTCAGCAATATGAACTGGATAATGGTGAAACGTTTAGTCCAGTGGCAAAATTTACAACTGTGCGAGTGTTACTAGCACTCGCAGCAACTAAGAATTGGAATCTTTGGCAGATGGATGTAAAAAATGCATTTTTGCATGGAGAACTGGATCGAGAAATCTATATGTGTCAGCCAATGGGTTTCCAATGTCAAACTCATCCGGAATATGTCTGCAAGCTTCGGAAAGCTCTGTACGGATTGAAACAGGCCCCTAGAGCCTGGTATGGAAAAATTGCTGAGTTTCTTGTTTATAGCGGTTACTCCGTGGCACCTTCAGACTCTAGTTTGTTTGTCAAAATTGAAGAAGGTAAGCTAGCTATTGTTCTAGTGTATGTAGATGATTTAGTTCTAACTGGTGATCATGAAGAAGAAATTGTGAGAACTAAACAGAATCTGTCAGTGCGCTTCCAGATGAAGGAACTTGGGTTGTTGAGTCACTTTCTTGGTTTGGAGATAAACCGTAGTGAAGAAGGGATATTTTTACATCAACACAAATATTCTAGAGATTTGTTGGAAAAGTTTGGCATGTCTAGGTGCAAACTAATTCCAACACCATTGGAGATGAATGCCAAGTTATGTGCGCATGAAGGGAAAGACTTGCATGATACTTCAGTGTGTCGACAGTTAGTAGGTAGTCTAATCTACCTTACGTTAACGAAGCCCGATCTTTCGTTTGCAGTTGGAGTGGTGAGCAGATATATGCAAAACCCGAGGAAGCCTCATTTGGAAGCAGTCCGGAGGATCTTGAGATATGTCAAGGGTACTCTTGGTCATGGTATTATGTACAGAAAGGATGGAGCTAGCAGATTAATTGGCTATTGTGATGCTGATTATGCAGGTGACTGTGATACGCGACGTTCCACTACGGGCTATGTATTTATGCTAGGGTCTGGAGCAGTTTCGTGGTGTAGCAAAAGACAGCCAACAGTGTCTTTGTCAACCACAGAATCAGAGTATCGGGCAGCAGCGATGGCGGCACAAGAGTGCACTTGGCTTACACAGTTGTTAAAGGATTTACATCAACCAACAGAGTGTTCAGTTCCCCTATACTGTGATAGTTTCTCAGCGATATGCTTAGCAGAGAATCCCGTGTTTCATGCAAGAACTAAGCATGTCGAAGTGCACTACCATTTTGTTAGGGAAAAAGTCCTTGGAGGAGAAGTGGAGCTGATACATGTAGGAACAGAAAGCCAAGTTGCAGATATATTCACAAAAAGCTTGAGTAACAGCAAGTTTGAGTATTTCAGTAATAAACTTGGTGTGGTGAAGAATAAGACTGTTGGTGTTGAGGGGGAGTGTTAAATGTTGCAACACCAAGTGTGAGTGTGTCCTACTGGTTCAGACATCATGGGGAGTGGAAATAGGATCATGGGATCATGGGATCATGGAGTAGTTTATTATTTTGTGGTTGTTATTATTTTTAATCATGTTGTGTAGTTAGGATTTCTATTGGGTTGTAGCCTATATAAAGGCAGTATTTCTTTGTTAATGCAGTACATCAGAAAGCAGTAATATAGAAACATTTCCTTCCCTAATTTTCCTTCTTGTTTGAGAGCCATATTTCAATTGTGTGTTCATTTGTTTAGCTCTGTCTTTCAACAGATCCATCCCCCTCCAAACGCACCTCTTTTATACCGCTCAGGTTCAACCGTAACTCCGCGAAGTCGATGGCCGCAGAAGACCTTGGATCACGGACGCCATTGAAGTTTCTCTCGCCAGTCCGAAGCTTCAGCTAATCGATCGGACATCCTCAGGACTGAAAATTCCTCAATCCGCATCGTCCGGAGACTCTGTTTGTTGCGGCCGGAACTCTTGCGCCTCTCCCTTCATCGTCTCTCGTCCGCTGCGCTTTTATTTAGGGATGTGCTAATTTATTGGGCTGACATTTTTATAACAAAACTAATTTAATAACAAAAATAACTCCAAAGTTAAACAATATTGAATAAAATTACTTATAGCAATAATAAATAAAAATAGATATAAAATTAATCAATTATTGCAAATTAACTATAAAAAGATTATTTAAAATAACACTAAAATAATGTTTATCAGCTAGCTCAGCGACAGACTAGGGATGGCATTGGGTCGGGGCGGGGCGGGGCGGGGGCGGGGAATGGGGTCCCCGTCCCCGAAATAGATCCCCATTCCCCGTCCCCGCCCCGTTCCCCGGCGGGGATGGGGAATAATTATTCCCCATCCGCGCCCCCGCGGGGATTTTTCGGGGACGGGGAATCCCCGCCCCGTTTTTGAATGATGCAATGAAAAAAGAAAACAAAACAAGAAATAATTTACCGGAAATTCAACTACAGTATAATAAGTAATTAATAAGTTAATCAAAACAAATTAAAACTAAACTAATTAACTAATAACTTAATCAAAAGTACTGAACTAAAACAAACCAAAACTACTGTTGAGTACTGAACTAAATGAAATAGTTAATAAGTTAATAAACACTAATGGAATAAAAAAGTTCATTAATATTATATAGAGTAAATACCAGTCAAGGTCCCTCGAGTTTGGTGGTTTCACCACCTATAGTCCCTAACTTTCGTAATTACCATCCGTGATCCTCCAAGTTGTGAAATCTGACCTGCTGCCATCCTCCTGTTAGTTTCTTCTGTCTAAGCTGTCAAAAGTGGGGGTAGAAATGTCATTTGACATATATAATTCTTTTTTACTCTTTTGCATCATAGTTGAAAAGTCAGCTCAGATTGCAGCGGTGGTGTACCGTTCGTCCGTTGGTGTTGCCGCCGGAATCCGCTGCAATTCCATGGACAGGTGCTATTCGCTTGGCGACGATGTTCTTTCCCGACAACCGCAGAAGACCAACAGCACCATACATCCGCTGCAATTCAGTGAAGCCAAGTAAGATATGCAACATGGATAGACAAAATATACGCACCATCAACTGAAGAACCACATTGCTTTGAGCCATCACCTTGCAAGTTGGAAGAGCTCTCAAGATTACCTTCGCAACATAAACTGCAAATTTTCAGAATACAAAGAGAAAAATAAGCGCAACAACCAGATTCTCGAAGAAGATTAGCTAAATAAGTGACAAACCAAAGAACCTGAAACGTAAAGATATGATTAAGTTGCAAAAGAGACACACAGGAAGTTAAGTAATACAGAGTAATATTCCAACGAAAGAAGGGAGATGAGACAATACTATATTCTGAAATTCTCTTGCCTCTTGATTCCTTAGAAGACTTATTTGCATCATCAGCATCCGTCAAACCATCCACAAAACAAAGCCTGAAAATGGCACTCTTATCCACCTACTCAGTACTCAGCAATCATATTTTATACAGTAAATAATGAAAGTATCCAAAATTCTCATCAATTTGAAGAGCCATTGCCCATTGAATCAACTAGAGACTTCAAGAAAATACAAAAACAAAAGAAAAGAAAATTCGTGTTTTTCCCACATTTTTATTTTTCTTTTGTGTCATCATAGCAGAATTTTCATGATAACTTAATTGATGAAAACTAAAATTTTCTTTAAATTCAGGAGTCACGGAATCAACAAGAACATGGAAAAAAAATAAAGTTCTTTAAAGACAAAAGAAAATTAAAATTAGGCATATCCTAATTGCACATCATTATTTTCCAGTTCAGAGAATGTTTCTAATTTAAATGTTGTAAAAAGAAAGCAAAGAAAAGAAAAAGAATTTACTCTTTCCAGATAACCTAATAGACACAGTAACAATAAAAATAAAAGAAATTACTTAAAAGTAATAGAAACCATTTCTTGAGTTTCTTACTTCATTTGATGGGAAAAGGGCAGAGAGATTTGTTTGAGGAGGAAAGCACGAGAGCAATAGAGAGACCTTGAGTCGCATAGAGCTTCGACAAGTCCAGAAGTGCAGCTAACAATTGGCCCAATTTGGAATCTGTTTCGAGCTTCGACAACATGGTTTCCAGTAAAGAAATGGCCTTCTCGAGTTGGTCATCGTGTACGAGGTCCTCCACCGCCTTCGTCCAGTTGTTGATATCGGCGGCGGCGGCGGGCGAGCTGGTGTTCTCCATGTCAGATGCTTCTCTCGAATTATTCAATCATCCAGGAATTTAGACATGGTGTATTCCGCACTCAAATATGGCAAATGATATTTTTATCCCCACTTTTGACGGTTTAGACGGAAGAAACTAACGGAAGGATGGCAGCAGGTCAGATTTCACAACTCGGAGGACCACGAATGGTAATTACGAAAGTTAGGGACTATAGGTGGTGAAACCACCAAATTCGAGGGACCTTGGCTGGTATTTACTCTATTATATATATTATAATATTTTGTTTTACTGGACTAATTAAGTTTATTAATATTATATATATTATAATATTTTATTTTTATTATAGAGGCAGTCGGCACAGGCAGGCAGCACTCCTGTGAATGTTCATGAATGTTTTGCTTTTAAGTTTATTATTAATTAATAATATATATATATATATATATATATATATATATATATATATATATATATATATATATATATATATAATATTATACGGGGAATCGGGGATGGGGACGGGGATCGGGGATCGGGGCCGGGGACGGGGCGGGGGATGGGGGAATTCTCCTCATCCCCGCCCCCGTCGGGGCGGGGACCGGTTTTCCCCGTCGGGGGCGAGTTGAATTGCCATCCCTAGGACAGACCCTTTGTAAAGCATAAGAATTATAGAATGTCCGGCATCAATAACTCTCTCAATTTCTTTTCTTTTGCAGAATATGTTTGATTTTTTTCTTCTCTCTTTCTTTTGCTCACTTTCTTTTCATTTTTTTCTTCTTTTTTCTCTTTTTCTTTTGTTTTTTTTCTCATCATCATGAATTTGATTAGGAGTTAAAGGTACAAGAATTACTTTCTTTTCTTCATGTACAAATGAGTATTTATTACTAAAGCCTTCATGGATGGTCTTCTTATCGAATTGCCAAGGCCTCCTTAAGAGCACATGTGCAGCCTGCATGGGGACTACGTCACATAAAATCTCATCAGTTTACCTTCCAATGGAGAGCGGAACTAGCACTTGCTTGTCAACCTTGATTTCTCCATTTTTGTTTAGCCATTGTATAGAGTATGGCATATGATGCTGAATAGTATTCAATCCTAGTTTTGTAACTAATTCAGTACTAGCTACATTAGTACAACTACCCCCGTCAATTATAAGTTTACACACTTTGTTATCAATGTGACATCTAGTGTGAAATATGTTTTCTCTTTGCTCTTCTTCACCTCTAGCTTGCAAGTTCAACAATCTTCTCACCATCAACATATCTCCTTCAGCGGGACTTAGAATTTCATATTCACTTCCACTAGGAGCTCGAGATTTCTCAGATTCTGGATCCGTCTCAAATTCCCCTGAATCAAGCAAAATCGCATTTCTTTTGTTAGGACAATCTTTAGCTATGTGGCCTCTACCTTAGCATTTAAAACATTTAGTGTTGCTAGTCCGGTTGGTAGCAATATCAACTTTGTCCTTGCCCTTGTTAATTGACTTGCCCGCTTCTCCTTTGGGCTTGAAGTCTCTTTTCACTTCTTTGCTTGACCTCCAGTTCTGAGCCCTTAGTTTCTTTTTCTCAAGTTTTTTTTTTTTTTTTTTTCAACTTGGATGGCCTTTTGAACCATCTCTTCATAATCCAAGTAGTCACACATTTCAATTTCATCTTGAATGTCCCAATTCAACCCTTTGGTAAACCTAGAAATAGCAGTTTCAGGCTCTTCTGTAATTCCAAGTTTTGTTAAGAGTGTCTGCTCCTCATGGTCATACTCAGCTACAAACATTCTGCCTTGTACAAGTTCTTGTAATTGTTGATGTAATTCTCGTTGGTATGAAGCAGGGACTCATTTCCTTCTCATCAACACCTTCATTTCTCTCCAACTCCCTACCTCTCTATTCACACTCCTTCTCCTATCCAACACCTCTTTATCCCAGCAAAGAGTTGCAAAATCACTAAATTCTAGTATTACCATCTTAAGTTTTTTACTTTCACGGTAGTAATGACAATCAAAAATTCTGTCTACCTTCCTCTCCCCTTCTAAATAAACATCAGGATCTCTCTTACCCGTAAAATTAGGAATATGTGAATTAATGTTTCCAATGTCATCATCTTCCTCATTTCTATCCCTCCTATATCCTCGATTACCTCTTCTTCTCTTATCATATTCTTCTCCCTCACTTGTACTGCCTTCTTCCTTTCTCTCATTAGCTCTCTCATTTTGACCTTCATGACACATCTGGAATACGCAATGTTCATGCGAGTGCATGTGCGTAAAGCTTGTGAGTATTCAAATGCATTAAAAAAAAAAAAACCCCAATAACATCCGGAAACAAAAACCCGACGAAACTAAACACAATATTTAAAGTGAGGAGAGAATTCTAAAAGCTGCGTATAAACTAAAGGGCTTCAACAAGCCGCAACAATTGACCTCATAACACAATCGACATTCGTTAGCCGATGTGTGTTGCTTTGGAACATCAAAATATCATCAAAATGCCTCTTAAACCAGACATCCCCTCAAGATTACCTCTTAACTTGGAGGCAATCATAGCCAAAGTAACGGCATGGTTGGACTTCTCAAACTTCAAACGCCACTCCTTCAAGATTTCACTAATATCGTCTTTTTGCCTTTTGGTGATGACAACCTCACCGGCGGGCAGCCCTAAAATAGAATGGACATCAGCCTCCGACACAGTAATGCTCGACCCATTTTCAAGCCGCAAAAACATGGCCACGAGATCGAAATTCGTAAGCAACCACCTAGCGAATGGCTTCGGGATGTCATGCACTTGAAGGTTCAAAACCTCTCCCAAACCCAACTCAACTACAACTTTCCTTTAGCAAGCATTAAAACGCTTAATAGGTTTGACAAGATGCTTTCGAGAAGCGCGAATCTTCAAGTGGGGAAAAATTGACTCATCAACCTCATCGGGCAAAACACCAAACCCATACACAGATATTATCAATCCCATATGCAATTACACAAGTCGTATACCCAAACCGAAAACAGCATCAACTTATTGTCGAAATGACTCTCTTAAAAAAAAAAGATTTCTACAAACAAATTAGTTCATGATTGTCTGAAACAATCATAAAAAACAATTAAAAAAAAAACATTCAAAACATAAACATTAACTCATCACGCACACAGAGAGGCACATCTACGCACAGACCATGAAACCAAACATTTCAATCCTCAAAACCTAGTAACCTAACACAATATTGTGCACAAACTAACACAAATAACGCACATGCCATGAAATTAAATAATCGGAGCCTAACATACGCAAAAAGGAAACCCACCATGACCATTGTTGATGCGCAAAAAACACAAGACCGTGCATTCCTAACCCCATGGATGAATACCAACCATTGTTCCTTATGTTTGCCTTACAACTACATACAACAACAAAAAACCCGAAAAATGCCAACCAAAACTAAGCAACGAAAATTAAAAAAAGGTAAAAAAAAAATAGTAATGCCAAGTAGCAATTAAAATTAACCCTACAAGCACACGGTGGCATCCTACAACGCACAAACCAACCTACCTACACACTGTATCCCCAAAAGTTAGAAACAAAAAAAAAAAACAAAAAAATAATAAACACGCCCTAAGAATTCACACACAACCAAAATAGCACTTTTGAAATCATACAACACAACAACAAATTATAAAATGTAAAAGAATAACATATGCAAACCCCACATAATAACAATGAAATGGTGAACCCAACCGGAAAAAAAAAATAAAATAAAATAAAAACCCCAGAAAAATTAGATAAAAACCCATAAACAACCCATAAATCACAACCCACTTAACACCCATGCCAACACACTCCGGCAGTAGAAAAAAACAACAAAAAGCCTCACATGCATGTACTCTTAACCGGCAAAGATAATGACTTGTCATAATCAAATACAATGATGAATTACAAAACAGCCCCTACCTACCTACACAACAAGCGCACGTGTTTTAAAAAACCACATCATCTGGATCGTTGAAAAAAAAACATCAACGATCAGGGAGTGTGCTTACGAGCTCGGCTAAATAGGGGGTATGCACTGGATTCAAAATTTGGACTTCGAATCCGATGCAGCCCCTATAGTAGATGAGACCATGAGGCCTCCTGATATCCATTGATTCATTTTCCATGAATGGTTGAGATTAGAAGAGATCGTGGTATTAATTAAGGACATTTTCCAATGAAAAGGAGATAATAGTAATTGTAGTCCTATGTTTATTTATGGATATAATATAATTGGAATCTGAAGCATTATATTAGGGAGTTTATGAATGGTAATTAATACTTTCAATTATTTACAAAGGCTGATGAACTGAACGTGGCGTGAACAAGGCTTGAGGAGAAACGAACGGGTGGGAGTGCAGAAACAACGACGGAGCACACTTATGTGCATTTACAGGTATGTGCATTTATGTGCCCTCGTGTGTGCATATGCTGAAGATTGGGGTTTTTTCCCGGAGGGGTTAGGAGAGGGGGTGGGGGTTGTTGGACGAACTAGAAGTTATGTGATGTGCATAGCGTGTGTGTGTGTGTGTGTTCATGTGAGTGCATACAGGTCTGATTGTGAAACAGATAGGTTGGTGGGAGGATGCATAGACAACAATGAGTATGTGCAGAGCGTGCAAGAAGGGTGAAATTATGGTTTGCACATTAATTTTTTAAAAAATATTCGGGAGTTTGGTTGGCCAACGTAATTGAAAAGAGATGTGTGTGCGTGAGATAGTGATTGTTGACAGTGTGGAACGGTAAGCATGGTGATTACAACTTAGTATGATGATCGTTACGGTGCATGGTGCGTAGGCCAGAAAAAGGCATGTGCATATCGCCTGCATCTCTCTGAGGATTTTGGTGTTATTATTATTATTTTTTTGGTGCGTGAGCTTCGGAATTTATGAAGTGTGGAACGACAAGAGTATGTCGATCACTACATACTATGTGAGTTTTGATGGAGGGTGCGTATGCGAAGATGAGTGCTTGCATACCGTGTGATTATATTGAGAAATTTGTTGGTGTTTTTTTTGTTTTTTTTGTTTTTTTTTTATTTGTTTGTTAAATACGTAAAACGTCGATAAGTAGATTTTGTGTGGCAGGTGTACTACCTATGGAAGACGATGTGGACGCCGAACAGTGTGTTATGGATATATCGCCGAGTGGGACAAAGATTTGGTTGCGATAGACGAGTTGAATTATTGGTTGGGTTTAAAATTGTTATTAATTTGTAATTATGTTGTGAGCGTTGTTGTATGCAGGTGAATGCATTATTCAGTAAAGTATAGCTATAAGTAAATACTAATATGGTGCATATGCATCTTCGTGCACTGCTAGTGGCGCGCAGCAGGCCACCGATCGATGCATAACGCTGTGGCTAAAAACATGCATGTGTCGCGGTGTGCATTAGTGAATAGAAGAAAGTTCATAGCACTTGTTCTGTGTGGGGTTTATGTTTTGGTTTTAGGTTAGTCCTCTGCTGGCACCCAAGTTTGCATGCACTTGACAATTGATTTTTATTTCAAACAAGGATGTGTGCGTAGTTATATAAAGGTGAATGCGTTACACCGTAAACAAGATTTATTACTTATTACTAATATAGTGTGTGCATAGTAGGCTGTCAGTCTGTGTATGTCGCTGAGTAGGCCAACAGTCTGTGCGTAGTAGTAAAAAAGGTGAATGCGTTACTCCTAAAAACAAGAGTAAGTAGTTATTAATAATATGGTCAGTATGCATTGGCGTGCACCGCCAAGTGCGTATTAGGCCATCAGACTGTGCATAACGTTGTCGATGAATACTTGCATGTTTCTGGTGTGCATTATACGATTGAAGTTAGTGCGTACTGCTGGAATATATGACTCATCTATAATACGCAATGTTCATTTGAGTGCACGTATGTAAAGCTTGTGAGAATTCAAATGCATTTAAAAAATCCCCAAAAAATGTAAGACGAATATAGGACACAATTGTAATACGAAATGTTCAAGTGAAAACCGAAAACAAAAACCAACATCCGGAAACAAAATCCCAACGAAACTGACCACAATATTTAAAGTGAGGAAAGAATTGTAAAAGTCGTGTATAAATGAAAGGTTTGACAAGATGCTTTAGAGAGGCGCAAATCTTCAAGGGGGGAAAAATTCCCTCATCCACCTCGTCAGGCTCAGCATCCGATCCATCCGTATCTGGCGCCGGTTGAGCGGGTTCTTGGGGCACTTCTACTGCTTCCGACTGTGGCAAAGGTGCCACCGCATCAACTACACCCACCGGCTCAACACCACCGTCCCCTGCAAATGGCACAAATCAAAAGACCGCGAAACCAAAAACAAAAAACCCCATAACATAAAGAATACCACTACAAAACATCATAAAACTGAAAAGCAATGACTTAAGGACAAACTCAACAACCATAGTGCACAAAGCTAAATCAAAAACGCAAACATACAAAAAATAACCCCCCAAAACGAAGACCATTAAACCTAGCTTTACCATGATGACACACATCGACGCACAAATTATGAAACCACACACACGCAGCGCCGATAAACTTTTAACCACTAACTACAAGTCCATTTAGACTAAGTTGCACACGGTGACATACATCTATGCACAAACGTGAAGACTAGCAAATCTGTAGAATAACATAGTACTGTACATGAACGAAAGATCCCAAAAATAATCAAAAAAACTTAAAACACACAACACAAATGCATAACATCAAAAAAATGAAAAAGCAATGACCGAAGCACAGACCAAATATCCATAGTGCACAAAGCTAACAACAAAAGACAACACCCCCCAACCCTACCCTCATCACCGCCACACTCGCCACCCCGCACCACCCTAAACACACCGGCCAATGCCAATACCCACCACTCGGTGAAAACCCCCCAAAAAAAACACACATACACAAACTAAGACGCCAGAAAAATAGAAACCCCTCGATGAAAACCCAAACACCTTTGGATCAGTATAAAACCCCCCAATATCAAAATAAAAATAACTCCAAAAAAAACAATAAAATAAAATACAAAGGATATGTAAATCGGAATACCTGTAATGGAATCAGAAAAGTTGCCCCTAAGTCGCTTAGACCACCTGGTGCTCGAACCCGCCATGAAGAAGACTCAGGCGCCCTGTGTACCGGAAGGAGATGTCGCGAAGGGAAGACGAACGGATGGCTAGAGACTGGCGAAGACTATGAAACGACGGCAAGGGGAGAGAAACCAAAAGTTATTCCTAATAAAACTCTGCAGATCCCATAAAACCAGCGGCAATAAAGACTTAACATAATAAAGACAATGCGAAAGTACAAAATAACCCCTATCTACATACACACACAGCGCACATGAGATGACAAATCATCACATCTGAGCCGTTCAAAATAAAAAAAACAAACAACTAGGATGTGGGCTCACGAACTTACCTGACTAGGGGGTGCACTGGATTCAATACATACATACATACATACATATATATATATATATATATATATATATATATATATATATATATATATATATATATATATATATATATATATATATATATATACCCATTCGATGTTTAGATTTGGTTCGATTTTTAGTTGAACCAAACCGAAACCATTTTCGATTTATAAAATATAAAATCAATCGATTTTTTAATAATAAACCAACAACACCTAATCATTCAGTTCGATTCAGCTCAGAAAAATCGAACCGAAATGTCCACCCCTAAATATTACATTTTTATATCAATCAAACCCGATCAATCTCATAGACAAACAGACTTACACAAGTGTAACCCAAACATTTTATAGAGTTACCCAAACAGCAGAAATGCTAACCCTCAAAAGTTTCGGATCAGCATAAGTAAAAATTGACCAATAGCAAATAGAATCTCAAGAACCAGTGGGAAGTAATCCTCAAATGTTTATGAATGATACTCATATGCCTTAATGAACAAAAACCTACCATCATTTTCAAATCACTAACCCCTTGCAATTATTCATACAACACAATCTCATCTACTTAATCATGAATAGCATTTGACTTGAAACAATAAGATGTTGAAACTAGATTGTACCGCACGATTGAGCTTGTGTTGAAGTATTCAGATTACAGTGCTGGTGTAGATGTGTGGTGTGTTGGTTGCTTCTATCTGATATGATCTTCATGGATTAAGGGTAACCACATCTTAAGTGCAAGAACAATATGAGAAAATTGGGGAGAAACACCTATCCCGCAAATTTACCCACAATGTACGTTAGAATTCAAGATCTTTCAATCTAGAATTAGAATAAGGAATTGCCCTACTTTTGTGATGTCTCAATTCCAAACTCTTAAGCTCAAAAGCACTCTAAAGTCCCAATTTTCCAACTTTCAAAGGTAATAATTGGGTTGTGAAGAGAGAGCTTAAGGCTCGAGTTCTTCACCCAACTTTCGTTGCGATGATTTACTTTCCAAGGGCAAGCTAATCCATGTTGCACATCAAGAATCAACAAGATCTAAACACAACCTTCTTCACAAGAGTGATCCCTAGAAATGAGTCTTCCCCTTTTATAAAAAATCAACATAACTAGCACTTGGGAGGGACATAAATAAACACAAATAATCTAATCTAAGCTAGAAAGCTATCTAAAAAATTAGGGAAAAGTTCTTTGCTCTCCCCCTCTAAATCTATATCTGAACAAAATAAAAGATAGCTCAATACGCAAGATTGGGATTGTTGAACGGGCATGTGAGCGCCCCTGTGTACATATGGGCTTTCTCATGCCCATGCGATGTATGTGCCCACGACCCCTATACGGGCATGTCGACGCCCGTGTGACGTCATCAGATCAAATAGAGACATCACTTATCTTGGCTCTTGAACGCGATCCTTCTTCTTGATTATCCCATGATGTTCTCGATCATCTCAAAAGGGCTCCTTAGTGCTGCAAATCATCCAAAAATCACCCTTTTCTTCACTTCCCTTGCTATTGAAGATAAAAAAAAAAAAAAAAACACCTAAAAGAAGAGAAATAATACTAATAAGCCTTATGCAATGCAATAAATGGCGCAAATTAAGCATAAACTTAGTTAAAGAATGGGGTAAAATGTGTACAAAAATACACTTATCATTATGCATCATAAAAATAGTACAAATTGACACTTATCAAACACCGGAGGAGCCCCATGTGCAACCCTCACCCCATGGATGTGCTCGTCCCTCTTCGAATTGTTTCCTTAAATCGAAGTGAGAGACTCTCCACACATATTATGAACAAATGTGGTGACAATGGGTCCCCTCGTAGGAGTAACCTGCCCTGCACAACATTATTTACTAACACATTATATTTCATCATTGAGATACATACCGTAATCAACCACACCCAATCCTCCTCAAACCCTAGCTTTCAAAGCATGCACTCCAAGAAGCCCCACCCGCTTGCCCACCCTACTCCCGCATTAAAAATCATCAATTCGCCTGAAAAAAAAAAAAAAAAAAGGAGAAAAAAAAGGAGAAAACTTACTCATTATGAAAGTATAAAGGGAACACAATATCCTCCTTAAGAATCATAGTTTGACGCGTTGATAAAAGCTCTGGGCAACATACCATTGGAATATGGTTTATAAATCAATGGTTGAAATTGATATAAATTTGGATTAAAATTATGAAAAATAAGGATTCAAAAATAGAATCATATTTTCATTTTTTTTTTGAAAACTAGAAGTAGATATAGAAATCTGACCTTAAAATATATCAACAACAAATGTGTCATTTCCATACTCTTGCTGCTCGTTTTGAATACGCTTAGCAGATAATATAAGTGACTCTAAACAACCATTTAATTTGATTGATTTGAGAGTAATTATTTCTGCAAAACCACTAGGAATTTCTTTCAAAGCTATGTGACCAAGGACTAGTTGTTCAAGGACTGGAAAATGATTACTAGTGGCTTCCCAATATCGTAGAGGACTCCAATCTATCCTCAAGAACATTAATCGACGGAATCCTCCATCTCTGGGTTTCCATTTTCGATCCCTAACAACACATCTATCCAATCTGAGGTCCTCAAGCTTAGACAACTTACCAACAACATCCATATCCTTCCATTTTAAATTTGTTTCAGAGAATCTTAACTTCTTAAGATTTGGCAAAAAATGCTCTAGGCTTAGCTTCCCCATAGAATAAATAGTTCTAAACTCCGGAAGTACGACAACATAAACCACTAATGTTTCCACTTTATATAAATAGACTAGACTTTCAAACCAATTAGGAGCTTTGCATTCTATTTTATGATTAGTAGTAACTTGCAATGTCCTTAGATTTGGGATCCTCATGAACAACTCCTTTGTACAACTCCTATAATCCAACCTTCTAATGCTCTCCAAATTATGATGAACTGATCTTGGAGGAACTAGTGTAATGCCAGACCAAATAGTGATATTCTTCAGTTGAGGTAATCCCCAAATATCAAGGGGTTCACATGGTGAATAATTACGAACTTGTAGCTCCTGTAGATTCCGCAACATGAACAAAGGCAGATACTGAATATTTAACTCACAAGTAATAGATAAGTATCTCAGATGCACTAGACCCACAATCTCCAAAAAATTATTATGGACATTTATATCCTCACTGAATACATCCAATGCCCTTAAAAACTTAAAATGTGCAAGCACCCCCACCCGTCTTGAAGTCCTGTCCAAAAGAAACCTAGTAACCTCAATCAGTGAAGAAGTGTTGGTAGTAGGAGTTATACTGTTGTAATTGCAAATTCTTGATTGGATACTCCATGGTTGAGATATATGGGAAGAGTTTATTGATTGATTTCTCTTCCACCTCAAACTAATCATATCATAACCCTTCTTGAAACATAAAAGATTTTCTTTTTGAGCTTCTCTCAAAGCCAGTTCACGCAAGACATCATGCATTTGATATAATTCTATATCGAATCTCTTTCCACAAATTAGGACAAGATTTCTATCCACAAGATCTTGTAAATATTTCCTTGCCACATCTTCCAAGCTCTCAGACCTCAAAACCTTTAAAAATCTCTCTGAAACCCAAAAATTAACGATCCTACTTTTATAAATCTCATCGTCTTCTGGAAAACACCCAAATGACAAAAAACAAAGTTTAAGATGATGAGGCAAGAAGGTGTAACTCAAATCAATGATGTTCTCACCCTGCTGATTAGAATGATCTAAACTCAAAGCAGGGACACATTTTGCAATATGCTCCCATTCATGAATAGTTTGGTTGGAGTTTGAGAGGAGTCCAGCAACCACAATAATTGCAAGAGGTAATCCTTTACACTTGTCTACTATCTCTCTACCAATTTTTTCAAATTCAGGGGACAATAGAGTTATTGATCTCTTACACACCTTGCTCTGAAAAAGATTCCAACTTTCATTTGAATCCAAAAAACGCAAGGTATGACAAAAATTATTACCTGAATCAGCATACTCAGTCACATTTTTTTGCCGAGTGGTCAACAATATTCGACTTCCAGTATTGTCATCCTGAAAACATCTCATTAAATCATCCAAGACATCTGTATTCCAAATATCATCTACTACGATCAAATACCTTTGATGTTTTAGAAGCCTGTATACTTGCTCAGCCAATTCGTAGTTGCTAGCTCCATTGTTGTGACTGGCCTCTGGGGCAAGAGAACGAAGCAGGCAATGGAACACTTGTGTTGGATTATAGTCCTGTGAGATAGTAACCCAAGCTCGACAATCAAAGCAAGAAAGAAATGAAGCATCTTCATAAATCTTTCTAGCTAAGGTGGTTTTACCGATGCCACCCATTCCCACAATAGAGACAATTTCTCGTTTTGAGGATTGCTGGCTCAGGTTGTCTATTATGGCGTTGAACACATCATCGCAGCCCACCATTTTCACTGCAGACTTTGAATCACCAACCATAATGCTATCAGGTTCCAGACCTCTAAGAGAAGCAGGATTGTTGTTTTGTGAGTTGTTGGATTGGTGGTATGCATTATTCTTAACATTCAACATCTCTTTATTGATGTAAGATGTGAGCTTAATTCCTTGGATGAAGAGTTGACGAATCCTCTGTGTAGCCTGTATCCGTTGTTTCATGTATTTGTTGAGATAAGAAGCTCTCACTTCTTGTCTGATTACACTTTCTGCTTCATACAACATATTCCTCCTTCTCTCTGTCTCTTGCTCATCATCGCTTTTCCTTTCCCGTCTGAAACAAGATTTCTTTATTTGAGACGACACGCGCCTCACGGGCCCTATGAAGTACCTATGAAGTACGAGGGTTACGATGTTCGACTGGACCCGGGAATCCTCGTCATCATCACCATCAATCTGTTGTTCATTCTTGCTCTCTTGTTCATCATTATCTTGCTCGTCATCCTCACTCTCGTTTTCATAATGGTAAGATTGTTTTCCATATAGGAAGAGTTGATGTTGCCAGCAAAAAGATTTGACCCTTTTGTTTATATGAGGCGGCATGCCTGATACCGGCAGCGTGAAGTGCTTCCCTAAGATCTCCATCACAGAATTGAAATCCATAGTTTCTGAGCCGCCTTTAATTGCTCGATTCAATATGGGGAGAAGCTTTTGAGCAGAGTGAAGCCTAAGCTTCATGGATTTCCCCAGGTAAAACAATCTCAATTGGTCTTCTATTTGGAACCTCAGTTCAACCGAGACATCTCTCACTTGTGCTTCCAAAGCTTTGATAGCTTCATCACACTCCCCCACTTTGAAATCTTGTTCAAGAGAGGTTTGCAAAGAAGAAAGATTTTTGTAAAGTAATCTCACCTTTGTTTTGTTGCGAAGAGGGAAAATGGGTGTGGGTTGGAGGAAGTGTTGATGGAGTGTGTCCATTAAAATGGTTACAGCACCAAAAGCCGCCATAGCCAGTGATGTTGCAGAAAAATCGAAGAGGTAATTAAGATGGATTTTGCAGAGAGGGGAGAAAGTTGAAGAAATGAGAGAGGAATAGGATTGGATGTAAAAATGAAAGATGCAATTTTTGCAGAGCAGACAGACTCGTTTAGGATGCAGAGAACACTGTTACTTTTTTCCAAAAAAAAATAAAATGCAACGTTTCAGAAAATAGGCCAAAAACTCTTGATTAGTGTTTAGGCTTGGTCGTCTTTTTTAACGAACGATGCAGACTTCCTAACAATTATTGATCCTGGCCAAGTATTTTTGTGTAACTCAATTGTATTTTTGTGGCTCTTTCAAATAAGATGTTGCAAGGTTCAAACTTTAACGAAGATAGATACTACATAGTATTTATATTAGTTTAATCTGATTTTTATTTTTATATTTCTGGTGATGAGAGAAATTTACAATCATAATATATCTGAGAGAGTATGAATAAGATAAATTCACTATTATGTAATAACTATATTATGACCTTAAATAAAATCATAATGAATAAGAAACCTTTCAAGCAGACTTCTGATTTCTAACCATATTCAAGTCGCAACAAATCCTAATTTCACACTTCAAATGCCCACCAATCCTCATATACAATGAACTATTGATAGCCAAATACAGTAAAACATCCCTGGAAAGTAAAACACCATCATCTATAGCATAGAAATTAATCATACAAATTTAAATAAATTTGGAATAAATAAAGTTAAGAAAATTATGGATTAAAAGTTAGAAGTATAATAATAATAATAATTATTTTTTTTTGAAAAACAAAAGTAGCTAGATCCTTCGTCAAAAAAAAAAAAAAAAAAGTAGCTAGATCCCGGCCCCTAACCCATGTGACCCTAGCGAAGGTAGAAGACCAGATAATGTACTCTTTTCTTCTGTCATATTTAGCAATGGTGTTCAATTTTTTTATTTTATTTTATTCGTACACATTCATTTGTATTCTTACCTGTATGTAATCCAGTATTAATATTTGAATCGCACTACATCTCCATGTTAGATCCCTTAACCCATGTGACCTTCCAAATATTTAATCTTTTAATTACATATCTCCATGTTAATTAGCTAGATCCCCCACCCAACCCATGTGATCTTCCACCAATCATTATTGTATGGACTATGGTCCACACAAGTTGTGTGGACCATATTGTGTTTACTGTAAAATAATGTACATTCAGTACAAAAATAATATACATTCAAAACAAAAATAATGAACATTGTATTCAGGAAATGTACATTATTTTTATTCTTAGTGTACATTATATTGTATAATGTACATTCAGTACAAAAATAATGTACATTCAATATATTAAAAAAATATTTTTTATTATGGCCCACATAACATTGTATGGACCATGGTCCATACAATAATTTGCCATCTTCCACGTACTTAATCTCGTAATTACACAACCCTAGGCCTAATGCCCAAATCGCCCCATATTTTCAATATTTTAATTACATGCCCAAACGGACATCTCCGGATCCATACACATTCATTTGCATTTACCTGTAAAACATTATACTACCTCTGTCCGTCTGGTTCGATTAACGAGGCTTGATTAAAGTTATTTGTAATCCAATTTTTCAAAATATTAAGTTTAGTATTAATATACAAAATTTATAAATTTAAAGACTACACTGAAGTCCTATTAAACACAACAATTTAAATTTAAGAATAAGTAAAAACTATTAAAGAAAATAAACAAAGAAGAAAGAGTTGGTTTGACCAATGAATAGTAAGTAGGACAGATAAAATGAGACATATGGAGTATATATATATATATATATATATATATATATTAATTTTCATTTTTAGTCCTACTGTTATAGGGGCATTTTCAATTTTAGTCCACCTTAATGTTTTTTGCCACTTTATAACCACTTTTAGTCCCACCGTTAATATTTCCATCAAGAGGTCGTGTAATCTAGGGGTATTTTGACCTTTCTTGTCATTCAAAATTATGTTTGACTAAAGAAATGAGAACATTAAACCAAAAACTTAAGAAACCCCGCTAGCCCGTGTTGGAACGAATGAAACGATGTAGCTTTGGCTTCCCATTCTCGTTGTTCGAAGAGCCATCTTCGAATATCGGAGGAGGAGGACGAAGCGCCTGGATTAAAAGAGAAGAGACAAACATAAAAAGACCAAAATACCCTTTGATTATACGGTCTCTTGACGAAAATATTAACGGTGGACTAAAAGTGGAACACATTCAATAACAGTGGTTGTAAAGTGGCAAAAAAATTAGAGTGGACTGAAATTAGAAACGCCCATATAACAGTAGGACCAAAAATGGAATTCACTATATATATATATATATATATATATTACAAGATTTGACCTAAAAATTAACTCGGGTAGTACTCTATTACCAGATGGTATTATACTATTTGAATTTGAACTTGTGACATTTCCTCAATCACATTTTACTTTTCATATTTACTATTCATTAGTAAAGTCAACTATTCTTTTTTTGTATATTTTCTTTAATAATTTTTATAGTTTTTTTTTCTTTAGTTTGATAGTATTTTTTATTTATTATTATTATTATTTTTTTTTGTAGTGGATTTGTGTTTAATTTGAGTAGTTGTTGAAACTTAAGGTACAGTTGTGTGAAACTTAAAGTGAACAATTTTAAAACCCTAAGTGCGTGGTTTGTATTCTTAAGGTGCTTTGTTGTGTGCTTAAAGTGCATGGTTTTTGTTTACAAGTTCTCCAAATTCCTTAAGGAATGCGGAAAATGGAGATGGAATATAAGTTTGAAAGAATAAATTTAGTAAACAATTTCTCCAATTTTTATTTTTTCCACTTCTCAATTTCTCTATTTTAAAAAAAAAAAAAAATTCTCAATTTTTTCAAGATGGTAAACCACCCCCAACTTATTCTTTCAACCAAGACCTTGTTTAATTTACCAGTGTGTTTCCAGTAAAAAGTACTCACAAATTAATTTAATAATTTTTTTTCAAGCAAGACCTCTTACCCCCCATAGTTAATCTTTTCATTGTGAAATTTTTTTCTCAACCTTACAATTTCCAATCTATATTAATCAGTCACTCTTGAATTAAAATATAAAAATTAAACTATTTAATTTCATGGATTAAGATCTCAAAAAAAAAAAAAAATCATGAACAGATACTACAATATAATAGAGTTAGTAGTACTCAAAAAACAAACAAAAATAAAAATAAAAATAAAAATCATAGATTAAGATCTCACCTTGAGGCTTGAATTAATAGGAAATTACATATCCAATAAATAAATGATAGGAGTGATTAATATATATAGAATGATAATTATAGGAGTCTCAAGTATGACTCTTTGCTTAATACAACTTTAATAAATTTGATGACTTAAATCGCCATAATATATATCCAATAACTACATTAATTAATCTCTAACTAATGCAATGTTTTTATTCTTCCACAGTTCCACTTAAACTAAAGTTACAATCAATTAAAAATGTTTGCTTTCAACCAATGATGTTAGATTTACCAGTGTATTTACAGTAATAATTACTGATTAGAATGGCAGAACAATCGGTAAAAAAAATGTTTGAATTGCAACGCCCAGCCCACATGGAGGAATACAAAGAATATAAAGTAGTGAGTAATAGCAGAATGAATTCCACTGCACTATTCTATTCATTGGCTAACAAAATCTGAAGAATGAAGCAGTTTCTGAAAAGTAATTAATGGGTTTGTATGTGCAAAGAAATGCCTAATTGCTCATCATCCAAACACACACTAATTTACACTACAAATGTGTTTCTCTAATAAGATGAGGTGAGATATGAACACAACATCTTAGATTGCAACCATACATGTCCAACAACTTTAATCCATGGAATCCTCCATCTCTGAATTCCCATTTGTTGCCACCAATGACACCTTCTTTCAATATGAGAACATCAATTCGACTTGTGATCTTTACAAGACGTTTGGTTGGAGGGATTTTAAATTCCCTTCCCACTTAATTCCCACCTAATTCCAAAGGCCATTAAATTCCGTAGTTTTGTTGGAGGGAATTGCAATTCCATGAAATTGCAATTCCCCCATTTTCATGGAATTAAAATCCCATGTCCCCCCCTGGTATTTTAATTCATGGGAAAAAAAGATAGTGATGAGTCAAAATTACCCCTTCCTTTTTTAACCTAAAATTAATGTCTAACAACAATAATGGACATTTTTGACTTTATACTACTTATTCCCTTTCAATTCCCATGTATACCAAACATTAGAATTGAAATTCCCAGTAATTCTATTCCTGTCAACCAAACACTGGAATTTAAATTCACACTTTATTCCCAGTAATTCAACTCCCATGGAATTACAATTTTTTTCCCACATAATTCCCCCCCTCCAACCAAACGCCCTGTTAAGGTTTGTGACTTTAGTGTTGCTCCCCCGCTACCCGCCTTCATTGAATCTTGATTATTACCCCTTGTGCATACGCTAGCGTCCCAAATCCATCAATTCATCACGTCCAAAATGCTCTCAATTTGTTCCATTCCGCAACTTATCAGCTCAAAACCTCCAACATATATAGCAAAAATGAAGAAATAAGTAGTGTAGTGTTTATTTACTTTGAAATCATTCTAAAAACCTGCAATACATACAAGGGCACAACATGCACATAAAACCCCCCAGGATAGGAATTTACAATTATGAAGAGCATTTTCAGGTTAGATGTGTGAGGCAGACACAAAAGTAGGACACTAATTTGTGGGTTAAAATACATACATTTGGCAATTAAATGCATGTTATTCATAGAGCTACACTAGAAGCAAAAAAACCAGTTGCATGCTCAATTCAAATTGTGATCTAATTAAGATTTGTGAGTTTAATTTGGTCTTAATTTCCCACACAAACTAATTATGTATTGAAGTGGACACAGATCAGAAGATGCATGTTCATACTAGATTGTACCAGGTGACCGATCGAGCTTCTGTTGAAGTCTTTAGATTAGTGTTGGTTGCATCCATCTGATCTGATCTGATCTGATCTTCATGGAGCTTATGAACAGGCAAGCAAAGGAATCTCTTCTAACATCATATCATATATGCACCAACTTAGTTCTATGCATTCAATTCTCAACCAACGGAAAATCATCTTTACTGGAACATGCAACAACTTTAATACCAAAAATAATCAACGAAGTCATCATACCTGGAAAGTAAAACACCATCATCTATAGCATACAAATTAATCATACAAATTTATATAAATTTGGATTAAAATTAACAAAATTATGGACTAAAAGTTACAAGTATAATTTTTTTTTTTTTTTTTGAAAAAACAAGAGTAGGTAGAAATCTAACCGTAGAATATCAACAGTAAACGCGTTGTTTCCGTACTCTCTTTGCTCTTCTTGAATACACTTGGCAGAAGATATAGCTGACTTTGAACATTCATGTAACTTGATCGATTTGAGAGTAGCTATATCTGCAAAGCCACTAGGAATCTTTTCAAAATAATCCATGCACATGACCAGACATTCAAGGATAGGAAAATGGCCACCCGTGGCTTTCCAAATTTGTAGATCACAACTCTCTATGCATAAGAACTTTAATCCAAGAAATCCTCCATCTTTGGGTTTCCATTTTCTGCCAACACCAGCACTCCTCAAGATGAGGACCTCAAGCTTCGGCAACATCCCAACAACATACATATTCTTCCAATTTAATTTTGTATTGAAGAGTTTCAATTTCTTAAGATTTGGCAAAAAAATTTCTACACTCCAAGTCCCCATAGAATGAATAGTACTAAACTCCGGATGAAGAAGTTTCTCACAAACATGTAGATCTTCCAGTTTATATAAATAGGCAAGATTTTCGAACCAACTGAATGCTTTGCATTTCAGATTAATTTTACGACCTTCATCAACTCCCAATGTCTTTAGATTTGGGATTCTCATAAACAGCTCGTCTGTACAACTCCTATAATCCAAAAGTCTAATGCTCTCCAAATTATGATGAACTGATCTTGGAGGAACCAATGAAATGGTTCCTCGAAGAGTGAGATTCTTCAGTTGGGGCAATCCCCAAATATTAAGGGGTTCATTTATTGAAAAATTAACACTAACATCTAGCCTCTGCAAATTCCGTAACATAAACAAGGGTAGAGAATTAAGTTTCATCTTAGGAAAAAACCGTAGACATCTCAAATGCACTAGACCCATTAACTCTCTGAACTCATTGGCATTCTCTTCTGGCTCTGTTAGCTTCAATCCCCTTAAAAACTTAGAATGCAAATGAAGCTGCTTAGTGTAGCAGTACCTGATTGAATTGAAAGCTAAAAAGGTGTTGCAGCTAGGAGATAAAGAGTTGTAACTGCAAATTTTTGATTGGATACTCCATATGCGAGAAGAAGAGTTTATTAGTTGACTTCTCCTAAACCCCACACTAAACAAAGAGCTATCATTTTTGGAACATAATAAATTCTCCTTCTGGGCTTCTCTCAAGGCCAACTCACGCAACAAATCATGCATTTGATATACTTTCAAGAATCCATCATCATTCATCTTTGTAGAAACTAAAAGAAGATTCCTATCTGCAAGATCTTGTAAGGATTCCCTTGCCACATCTTCCAAGCTCTTAGACCTCAAAACCTTTAGAAATCCCTCCCAAACCCAAAATCAACAATAAAGTTTTCATTAAGTTCAGTGTCTTCTGGAAAAAGCCCAAGTGACAAGAAACATTGTTTAAGATGATGAGGTAAGAAGGTGTAACTCAAGTCAATGATGTTTTCACCCTGTTCATTAGAATGATCTATACTTAACGTATGAACATTTTTTGCAATTTGCTTCCATTCATTTAAGTCTTGTTTGGGGTTTGAGAGGAGTCCAGCAACCACATTAATTGCAAGAGGTAATCCTTTGCACTTGTTTACTATCTCTCTACCAATTCTTTCAAATTCAGGGGACAAAGTTATTCTCTGGGGCAACACCTGGTTCTGAAAAAGGTTCCAACTTTCATATGAATCCAAAAAACGCATGGTGTGACAAAGATTACCATCTGAACCAGCATAATCAGCCACATTTTTTAGTCGAGTGGTCAACAAGATTCGACTTTGATTGTTATCATCTGGGAAACATTTCTGCAAATCACACCAAACATCTGTACTCCATATGTCATCAATTATGATCAAATACCTTTGACGTTTTAGACATTTGTAAACTATCTCAACCAATTCGTTGTTGCTAGCTTCATTGTTTTCTTCAAGGACCCTTGGGGCAAGAGAATGAAGAAGAGTTTTGAACACTTTTGTTGGATTATACACTTGTGAGATAGTAACCCAAGCTCGACAATCAAAGCGAAAAATGAATGAAGCATCTCCATAAATTCTTTTAGCTAAGGTGGTTTTACCGATTCCACCCATTCCCACAATTGACACAATTTCTCGTTGCTTGGATTGCTGGTTCAGCTTATCTATTATCATGTTGAACTCATCATCACAGCCCACCATTTCTATTGTAGTATGCTGCAACGAATCACCAACTGTAAGAGAAGCAGAAGTATTGTTCCCTTGTGGGGTATTGGATTCATTGTAGTGTGCATTCTTAACCTTCAACACCTCTTTCTTGATGTAGGATGTAAGCTTAATTCCTTGCATGAAAATTTGATGAATCATATGTCGAGCCTGTATCCGTTGCTTCATGTATTTATTGAGATAAGAGGGGTCTCTCAATTCTTGCCTGATTATACTTTCTGCTTTACACAAAATATCCAAATCATTACTCTCCACCTGTTCACCCTGGACCCCATATTTAAAAAGAAGAGCGTACCGTGTGCAAAAAGATTTGACCCTTTTGTTTATATGAGGCGGCATGCCTGATACCGGCAGCGTGAAGTGCTTCCCTAGCATCTCCAACACAGATTCCAAATCCATAATTTCTATGCCGCCATTAGTTGCTCCATTCAAAAGGGGAAGAAGCTTTTGAGCAGAGTGAAGCCTAAGCTTCATGGATTTCTCCAGGTAAAACAATCTCAATTGGTCTTCTATTTGGAACCTTAGTTCAACGGAGACATCTCTCATTTGTGCTTCCAAAGCTTTGATTGCTTCATCACACTCCCCCACTTTGAAATCTTGTTCAAGAGAGGTTTGCAAAGAAGAAAGATTTTTGTAAAGTAATCTGACCTTTGTTTTGTTGCGAAGAGGGAAACGAGGAGTGGGTTGGAGGTAGTGTTGGTGGAGTGTATCCATTAAAATGGTTACAGCCGCAAAAGCCATTGCAAGTGATGTGATGTGATGTTGCAGAGAGAAAGAGAGAGCAGGAAGGAAGTTGAAAATTCTGCATATATATCAGAGGATGCTATTTTTTAGCAGAGTAGAAATTACAAAATAAGAATGCTATGGAAAATCTTTCTACTCCATCTCTATGCTAAGTTAAATAACTTTTTCCAAAAAAAAAAAATGTAATGTTAAATAACCCTTTAAAAATAAAAAATTATTGGACTTCCCAACAACCAGCGCTTAAACTCAACACTTAAACTAACATCTTTTCATAATGGCAAAAATTTGTGTGAGACCATCTTACGAATCCTTATCCGTAAGACGAGTCATATTGTAGGCAATAAATATGTAAGTATTACAATTTCAGTTATAAGTATTACAATATTTATCATTAGTAACCATCATTTTACCCTAAAAACTATCACAATTTCACACACACACACACACACACACACACACACACACACACACATATATATATATATATATATATATATATATATATATATATATATATATATATATATATTATAATATCTATTATAAGTAACGGTTTATTTATTTCAAATTAGTATAAACTTTTCTACAATAAGTATTATGATTTTTATCACAAGTAACAAGGAGACGGCCTCACACAAGTGTAATTCTTTGATAATTAATATTTAATTTTTCAAAGTTAATTTTTAAAACTATTATAAGGTGATCTTTATGAATTATATACATCATTTTATGAGTTGCTTATAAATTTTCCCTATTAAAAATCAATTAATTATTTTTGAATAAGTCTTATATAAGAATGTCTCATGTTAGATATGTATTAATTTTTTAGCTAAAATATAATATCTTTTATAGGTCTATAAAAAAGTATTACATTTTAGTTAACACACAAAATCTACTCATTATTTTTTACTTTCACCTAAATTGAATAATAAAGAGATAACTCATCCAAAATATTTGTAAATTGCTATATCAAGTACAGTAATACAACCATTAATAAATTATTAAATGATCATTTATTTAGTTCGGTTAACAAAACTTAACTGGAGTTATTTTTAATCCAATTTTTCATAATATTAAGTTTAGTATTAATTATATAAAATTTATATATTTAGAAACTATATTAAAATTATTTATAATCACAAAAAAATAAGTAAAGAAAAAAAAAATTAGTTTAACCAATTAATAGTAAACATGACATATAAAATAGAACAAAAAGGATAATAAATACAAAATATAAAATATGTTTACCCCTATATGCTATTTTGGATTTAGGACTTGCAGTTTCAAATATTTTTTTTGGTGTTTCAAATATTAAATAGGTGGTTTTAATACAGAATTTATCATCATATAGCATAAAGTGGAAAATTAATGTATTGGCCTCTTAGCCTGTAGAAGAATGGTGAATTCATATTCATGTCCATTCATTTTCTAATACACAAATATTTAGTTCATTAAAAAAAAATTTGTAACTCATATTAAGAAAAAGAAAAAATTATCAAAATTAAACTTACATGAGATCGAACCCAATTTGGAGATGAGATCAGAGCTTTAATTTGATGCAGCAGCCAAAGGCATAATGGGCAGTGATGTTGTAGAAGTAGAAGAGGTAATTAAGATACATATGATGGGTTGGTTTGGTTTAGGGTTTAGCAGAGAGATTAGAGGAGAAAGTTGGAAATTGTGCAGAACAGTACAGAAGAAATGAGAGAGGATATGATAGAATAGATGCTGTGGGAAATGAAGATGGAATATAATATTTTCAGATTAAGAAAAGGCAAGGAAGAAGTTGAAAGTGTTCTTTTTTTTTTTTTTAATGAATGATTTTGACATCCTACATTCCTACCAACTATTATTGACTCAGAACCCATTATATATATATATATATATATATATATATATATATATATATATATATATATATATATATATATATATTAAGCCACTAATGGGGTATTTAGCTGTAACCAGAGAATTAGGAGAATAAAGAATGACAATTCCATAGGTGATGGATAATGTAGGAATAAAATAAGAATTTTATTTTATTATTTGGTTTATGTGAATAGAAATAGGGTCACACTTACGTGAGACTGTTTCACAGATATAAAAATAGAGTCATACTTGTGTAAGACTATCTCACGGATCCTTATTCGTATGATAGGTTGAGTCGGGTCAAATCAATATGCAAATGTAATAATTATACTAGCAAATGTAATACTAATTAGAAATAAGGTGTTTGTTAATTATATAGGAAAACCTCAATAGTTGGGGATTTTACCCCAGATTTTTGTGGGCCCCAACATCCACCTCATCATCCACTATCTCACTCAATTACAAAATCTCTTCTTCTCATTAGTTTTAAGTTTTTGCACAATTTTTTGTGGACCCACAATTTTATCTCCATATTTTAATTATTTTTTATTTATTTGATTTATAAATTTAAAATTTTATAATAAACATAAATTAATGAACATACGTAATTATGGAAATAATACTATGAATGAACCTACATAAATATGCGTATAACATATCTACAGATATAAATTTAATTTAATTAATAAAGATATTAATAAATATAAATAAAATTAATAACAATAATTTAACTTTTTAAAAACAAGAATTTTAAAAAGTTAAATTAAAAAAAAAAGAAAAAAAAAAGAAAAAGAAAGAAGCTGGCCGTTGCATTACTGTAAATAATAATAATAATAAAAAAAGTAGTTCTCAATTGAGAGTGGCCGCCCTCAATCTCCTGACATTTTTTTTTGAACTTCTGACAAATTTTGGAGTGTTGCAGGAGAAAGATTTCTCCAAAATGCAACACTCCCATTTGTCAAAATGTCTTAGGCCAAATTTTCTTGTTTCAAAAGTTTTGTAAAATTATCCTTATGGGGATGCCCTAAATAATGAAATATAAGGGCCCGTTTAGTCGTTTACTAACAGAAAACTGTTTTCTATTTTCTATTTTCTAAATTTTTCAGTTTTCATAATATTTTCCATTTTATGTTTTCGGTTTAGAAAACTTGTTTACTAATGAAAACTTGTTTTCTATTTCCAATTTTCAAACCATCAATGGCAAAAGAACTCAGATATGAGAAAGTGGTCAAAGACTTGTGCATTATTCTCTTCAATATTCTGATCTTGTCCTTCAAATATCTTGTTAGGCTGTAACCAAGAACTGCAATAATCATCTTCACCAAATCTGAGGCTTTTATTTACTTGGAAAAAAATCCCATTCAGAAACAATCTCCAATCTTGTACTTCATGTGGCCCTGTAATTTATCTTCAGTATCTGAATAAAATATATGAAAGAAGAAACAATCTCCAAACCTACAATATTCATCTTCACCAACAGGAGACAACCTCAGCTCTGTTTCAAGGAAAAGATGATTGGCATCAGATGCTTTAATAACCAATTAAGGTAACACTTTTGGAAGACAATATATAGTATCTGTGAAAAACATCCTATGTGATACACTAAACTCCGTTTATAGTATATGTAGAAAACATCCTATCCTATCCAATGTGCTACACTTAACTTCGTTAGCCAATTGCGAGTTGAGACTTAACATCTTCATTTGCAGCTACCAATCCCTGAGCCACCTACATTTCCCAGTCTGAGAGTTGCATTATATTGTAATTTCAACTTTATTTGAAGGACAAAAATAGTTTAAAAATCCAACCGTAAAATATCAACAGCAAACGTGTTGTTTCCGTACTCTTGCTGCTCTTCTTGAATACACTTGGTAGAGGATATAACTAACTTTGAACATCCATATAACTTGATTGATTTCAGACTACTTTTATCTGCAAAACTACTAGGAATCCTTTTAAAAACATAACATGATCCCAAGGACTAGACATTCAAGAGCAGATATGTATAAATAATTTTCAACTTACAAACAACATCCACGACCTTAAGAACCATAATTTGATGCGATGCTAAAATCTCTGGCCACCATCTTACTATCTGGAAAACGAAACATCATCTATGGTTTAGAAATTAATCATTGAAATTGAAATAGGTTTGGATTAAAATTAAGAAAAGTAAGGATTTAAAAAATTAGAATCTTAATTTCAACTGTTTTGAAAAGCAAAAGATATATAGCTTGAAATTGGACCTGGAAATATCAACATCAAATGTGTCATCTCCGTACTCTTGCCGCTCTTTTTGAATGTACTCAGCAGATGATATAAGTGATTCTGAACAACTAACTTGATTGACTTAAGAGTAGTTATATATACAAAATCGCTAGGAATCTCTTTTATATCTATGTAACTAAGGACTAGATCTTCAAGAACAGGAAAATGATCACTGGTGGCTTCCCAGTATTGTAGACCACACCACAATATTTTCAACAACTTTAATTCACAAAATCCTCCATCTTTGGGTTCCCAGTTTTGGTCCTCAACAGCACCACTAATCAATTCAAGGTCCTCGAGCTTAGAAAACGTACTGATGACATGCATATCCTTCCATTTTAAAAATGTACAATATAGTGTCAACTTCGTAAGATTTGTCAAAAAATTCTCTAGGCTCAGCATCCCCATAGAACGAATAGTTTTGAACTCGTGGCGAAGTTGTTTACATGCAACTACAAGTTCTTCCCGCTTATATAAATAGCCAAGGCTTTCACACCAATTGGGAGCTTTGCATTTTGGATTAATTTTATGATCAGTAGTAACCGCCAATGTCCTTAGATTTGGGATTCTCACGACCAACTCTTTTGTACAACTCCTATAATCCAAACTTCTAATGCTCTCCAAATTATGATGAACTGATCTTGGAGGAACCAGTGTAACAACATTACTAACATGGGGATTCCTTAGTTGAGGTAATCCCCAAATATCAAGGGTTTCACATGATGAATAAAGATAAACTTCCAGTTTCTGTAGATTCCTCAACATGAACAAAGGCAGATAATGAATATTCAGCCTACAATGAATATTTAACCATCTCAGATGCACTAGACCCACAATCTCCAAAAAAATATTATGGACATCTATGAACTCACCTACTGACAACGCCCTTGAAAACTTAAAATGTGCATGCACTTGATTCAACGGGAAAGTAGTGGATCTAGTGAATATGGGGTACCCTATACCAATAAGTGAAGAGGTGTTGCTAGTAGGAGTTATACCATTATAGTTGCAAATTCTTGATTGAATACTCAATGGTTGAGAGATACGAGAAGAGTTTATTGGTAGAATTCTCTTCCACCTTAAACCTATGCCAAAATCCTCCTTGAAACATAGCAAATTCTCCTTTTGAGCCTCTCTTAAGGCTAATTCACGCAAAACATCATGCATTTGATATAGTCTTGACAATTTACTAGATCTCTCCTTACAAATTAGAACAAGATATCTATCTACAAGATCTTGTAAGGACTCCCTTGCCACATCTTCCAATCTCTCGGACTTCAAAACCTTTAGAAATCCCTCTGAAACCCAAAAATCAACAATCACATCTTCATCAACCTTATAGTCTTCTGGTATACACACAAATGACAAAAAACAAAGTCTAAGATGATGAGGTAAGAAGGTGTAACTCAAATCAATGATATTCTCATACTGCGGATTAGAATGCACTGCTGGAAATTATGAAATTTCCGACCACCTGAAAGTGATCTTAAATCAAGTCGGAAGCCTTGTTCCGACCACTTTTGGTACCCGGAAAAATTTTTATTGCTATTTCCGACCACTTTTTGCTTTCGACTTGATTTAAGATCATTTTCAGGTGGTCCGAAATTTCATAATTTCCTGCAATGATGATCTAAACTTAATGCGCAAACATTTTTTGCAATATGCTCCCATTCATAATTGATTGGTAGGAGTTTGAGAGGAGTCCAACAGCCATAGTAATTGCAAGAGGTAATCCTTTGCACTTCTCTACTATCTCTCTTGCACTACTTTCAAATTCAGGGGATAAAATTATTCTCTTAGACAACACCTTGTTGCAGAAAAGGTTCCAACTTTCATTTGAACCCAAAAAACACTTGTTGTGACAAAAATTCCTACCTGAGCCAGCATACTCGGCCACATTTTTTAGCCGTGTGGTCAACAATATGCGACTTCCATTTTTATCATCCTGAAAACATCTTATTAAACCATCACAAACATTAGTACTCCACTGTAAGACTTTCCTGTATACTATATATTATATATTATGGGTCTTACTTATGTGGTGCAAGTGGACTAGGCCCATTAAGTAATTGGTTGGACTAGACATTAGGTTAAGTTTGTATTCCACCATATGCCTATATAAACTCTGTATTGATGGGATACATGACATATTCATTATATAGCATAAAGTATTCATACTGCTCAGAAAATACCAGTACACCATCTAGGGTTCTGAGTCAAGTATGAGACAAAACAGCTAACCCTATTCCGCAGATCTACCGTTCACGTGGCTACACAACAGGATATCAACCATGGCTGGAGATCTACCGTGCTTCCGCTTCCGCTACTACGAGTTAAGTTTCTCGTAGATTATACTCTTATTTTTAGATCTCACATTTGGTATCAGAGCCTTTATGAATCTCTGCATGGTTGATTGTTTTGCCTAAAAACAATATTAATTTTTCATATACATCAAGATTTTGTATATGATTTTTTTGACTACTAAAAATTATTAATTTTTTTTTTTTTTTAGCGTTAAACATGATTTTAATTTC